GATGCTGCCTTACGCATTATTCGCTATCTGAAGCATAGTCCGGGCCAAGGCACCCTACTCAAACGACCGACTTCATTGGAGTTAATTGGATACTGTGACTCTGACTGGGCCAGTTGTCCCTTCACGCGACGTTCCACTACAGGCTTCTTCATCACTCTTGGCGGTTGTCCAGTTTCTTGGTGCACTAAGAAGCAAACAACCGTTTCTCGCTCGTCCTCCGAAGCAGAGTATCGTTCAATGGCAGTCACTACCAGTGAACTTATATGGCTTCGCAATTTATTTTCTTCGCTCGATGTCACTCTTTCTGTCCCCTTTCGTCTGCTCTGCGACAATCAATCGACCATTCATATATCAGCCAATCCAGTTCACCACGAGCGTACAAAACATATTGAGATTGACTGTCATTTTGTTCGAGAGCGTGTTCAATTTGGTCAACTCGTTGCCAAGTACATCCCTACTCGCCTTCAGCTTGCCGACATCTTCACTAAAGCCCTCGGCCGGGATCGCTTTCATTTTCTACTCCGCAAGTTGAGCATTTGTGATCTTCATGCTCCAACTTTAGGGAGAATATTCGGGATATCATTCGAGATTTACATGATCTTTCTTGTATATTAAGTTAGTCTTATAAATTAGGTATATTCTTGGAGAGAAAGTAACTCTTGTATTATTTATTTCCAGAGCTTTGTAACTATTAGTGAGAAATAAAAATTTATACGATTCTTATTTTTTCTTATAATTATTATATGATAGTAAATTAAATTATCATATTAAAATATTTATTACTTTTCCACAATAATCTAGATCTACAAATTAACTTGATAGACAATACTTTGTTGGGGTCTTTTTTAGTTGTTTTAGTTGTTCGAGTAGTTGGTTAGTTTAGTTGCGAGTGTTTTTATTCCAGCGTTGCTAGTCGGGATTCTAGGCGGTTTTCTGAGTTGTCCTCCCACTTTTTTGGCTACTGTGTATTCAGCCGTTAACTGCTGTGTATTCGCACATTTGTGCATTTTAATTTATAATATTATCTATCATTTTGGGAAAAAAAAATACAAATTAACTGAATATATTATTAATTTTATCTTTTTTTACTCACCTAAGCGCGTGTACTTTAATTAATCAGTTCGAACGTCAAAGAGAGTATCCAAAACCCGATTACGATAGATTCACATTTGAACTTAACACAAATATACAACATTATCACACAACATTTTTGTCTAAGCTGAATATTTTTACAGTTCACAAAACCTTATAACGAAACAAATTATTCTCCGCAATGAT